GCCGAGTGGCTCAGTTGGTTAAGAGCGTGCGCTCTGAGCAACAGGTTGGTGGGTTCGATTCCCACATGGGCCAGTGAGCTGCGCCGGAGCTGAGCTGCCACTGAGCTGGCAGGCTGGCTCAGCTCGTGAGAAAACGTGCTGCTAACGACAAGGTTGCCAGTTCAACTTTCACATGGGATGGTGGGCCACGCCCACCCGCAACAAGGATGAAGAGGGCACCTTGATCTGAGCTGTCCTGAGCTGCCAACAGGTGGCCAGATGGTGACTGGACTTGGAGCTGAGCTAGCTGCGCCCGCCACAACTAAGATTGAAGGACAACAACTTGGCTGTTCTCCTTCCCCAATTCTCCAACACTGTTCCCCTTCCCCAATTTCCCAATAATATCTTTTAAAAGTAAAAATAAAATAAAATAAAACCAATCATACCCTGTTGAAAAAAGTACAACAAAACAGAGGAAATTAATTTTAACAGTATATTTTATTTAACCCAATATATTCAACATACCTATTTTCAATATGCAGCAATAGCCCCATTTCAAGGGATCAATGGCTATGTGTGGCTAGTGGCTACCATGTTGGCAGAAGAGCTCTTAAAGTACTAGAACCATCCTGTGCATGTCGGAAATGCTTTATGTGTTTGTTAAATAAACATCAAGGAAGATAAAAATTATTTCTGCAAGTCAAGAAGATAAAAGACCAAAATCCCTGGACATGTCTCCTGTGCATATACATGTATGAGGAAAGTGTATTTCAAACTGTGAGTTGCAACCCATTATAAGTTTGGTGGAATCAGTAGGTCACAACAAGCATTATTTCTGAAACATGAAATGAAATAGAAAAGAAAAGAGAGTCCCTTGCACATGGTAAGACTAAATTCTGCTTCTGAAATTTTTGAAAGTGTGTGTGTGTGTGTGTGTGTGTGTGTGTGTGTGTGTGTGTGTCTGTCTGTCTGTCTGTCTGTCTGGGTTATGATATAAAACATAGCTCTTATTGTAAACCTTATTCAACAGAGTTTGAAAGCCGCTGATCAAGGATATATTTAAGAGTACAATTGCTAGGTTAAGACTTAGCAAATAGACATGTTCAACTTTCCTGTAGAGATTGTCAAATAGCTCTTTGCAATCACGACCATGATATGGCAACCAAATTCTGTTTCCTATTTCTTCTTCCGGGGCGCACACACACAAATACATTTCTCCATCCCCAGCAATGAGGTTAGACCATGTAGCTGGTTCCAGACAATGAAAAGTAAGCGGAAGTCATATGTGTCACTTGCAGACTTAGGCTATGAGAATCTCCGATTTCTGTCTTCCCCTGCTACATCAACATAGAAACCTTCAGAAGAAATGAAAGAGCCTGGGTCACTGAGTCACCACATGGAGGACAGCTGCCTTGCAGAGCGGCCAAGACCAGCGGTGGACTTTGTCTGAGAAACTTTAACTGAGATTTTTTTACAGTTGTTACAGCACTATAACCTAATCTATCTTAAATGATACACTCACTAGACTGATTGTATCAATAAATACTCCCAACAGTATTGTAGAAAAATGTCCATCTCCCCGTATTTATTCATTAAGAAAATATTTATTGAGCACCTAGAATGTTCCTGGCTCTGTTTTAGGCACTGGAGATACAACAGTGAACAAAACAGAAAGATCAGGCCTCATGAAGCTTATATTCCAGTGATAGACTCAAACTATAAATAGAATAAATAGGAACATTATATTTGAGATGGTGGTTACTCCTACGAAAAACAGTAAAAGCCAGATAAAGGGAATATGGAGTGTTGGGTTACAATTATAAATTGCATGGTCATGGTAGGCCATCACTGAGGACGTGTCACTTGAACAAAGACTTGAAGCTAAGAAGGGGGAAAGCCACATGGCTATTATGCAGAGAGCATGTGAAGGAGAGAAAACAGACAAAGGCGCTGAAGCAAGAGCCAGCAATAAGTGTTGGAGGAATAGCGAAAAGGACAGTGCGGCTGGAAAAGAGAGAGCAAGGGGAAGACGGTAGGGAGGTGAGGTTAGAGAAATAACAGGGTCACCAGATTGTGGTACAGGTCTAGCAATAGATAATATTGTTGAACTTGGTGTTTGTCCTGCTGATAGATATCAAATGGTGTGTTGTTGTCATTGTAATTTGAACTTCCCTGATTATAATGAGGTTGAGCGTTAGTTTGTTGTTCATTCCTAAAGCTCAGAAGATTTGAAGATACTACCTTGGAACTTTTGCCTACCTGTAGCATAAGACAACCTGAGGCCTGGAGCCCGGGAAGTCACTAAGATCATTTCCCTGGAAAGAGGGTGCTTTGAGACTAGGGTCACCAAGTTTAGCAATTAGAAATATAGGACTCCAATTGAATTTGAATTTCAGATAAACAACAAAAATATATATTGTAATATAAGTATGTCTCATGCAACTTTTGCTCAAAAATATTACATTGAGCAATAGAAGCCAAAACCAAACAAACAATACATGTTATATGATTCCATTTCTATAATACTCTAGAATAGGCAAAACTGATCTCTAATCACAGAAGCCAGAACAGTGGTTGCTTGAAGGGGACAGGAACTGACTGGAAAGTGCCACAAGGGAGCTAACTCTGGGGATGACGGAAATATTCTAGAGCTTGTCTTGGGTGATGGTTATACGGTTGCATGCAATTGTCAAACTCATTGAACTGAATGCTTAAGATCTGGGGCATTTTATTAGATGTAAATTAAGCCATTAAAAAAAAGTCATACAGCTGACTCTGAACCAATCAGAGGTATGGAGGTAGGACCTGCTGATTGGTTTATGCCTGAACCTCATGGCCCCTCACTAAAGTACCCACAGGAGTCATCCTCCACCAAAGCAAGGGCAGTAACAAAAAAGGAGTAGAGGTGTGGGGCAAGTAGATGTTTGGCTGCTATAATAAAGTGATCCAAAGTCACAGTGACTTAAGCAATATAAAGGTTTATTTCTTAAATAAAAGTTTGACACTGGAGATGGAAAGGTGAGCTATGCACTAGGAAATCATCAAGGTCCCAGGTGAGCACGCTCACCACCAGTCTCTCATCTAAGGCCCACGACGGCTGCTCCTCCAGCAGGCAAAAAAAAAGAAGGGCAGGTCCCCTCCCTTTAAGGCCATACCCAGAAGTTGCTGCACTTCTCTGCTCTTGATCAAGCCTTTCTACCTCCCTGATTTCATCTAATTCCAGTGGCACTAAAACAGTTTCATCTGGTGGAAAAATGGAAGAAACAAGCCTGTAGGGAGCTTGTGAGAATTAAATGAGCTAATGCACACAAAGTACTTGGAACACAGTAAGCGCTCAAAGGCGTTAGTGATAGCGTATGTATTATTCCATAGCCCTAAATAATTCAGGAGATCTGTCTGGTGAAATTGAGAATCAAAAAAAGAGAAGGGAGAGAGAGCAGGAGTCTGGCTTTCTTTTGCTTATTTGTTCAGCAAATGTTGACTGGTCCTTGGCCTTCTCTGTTTGGGGGCCAGTGCAGATGACCAAGACAAACTTTAGCCCAGCCTATATCCATCAGGAATTCTTTGGTTTCAAGTAACAGAAATTCAACTCAAACTAGCTTGGGCTAAAAAGGAAAATTTAATGGCTCATGTCATCAAAATTCTGGCATGATGGGGTGCAGAGTGGAGTTACTGGAGCGAGGGCAGTGAATGCCAACAGGACTCTGACCCCATCTCTCTTTGCTTCTCCCGGTGTCAGTTTTATTCTCTCCTCCGGGTGGGTAGGAAAATGGGCACTGACAGCTCTGAACCTATTCTTTCACAGCCTCCCCACCCAAAAGGAAAAGCTTCTTGCCCCCAAACTCCAGATCCAAAAGCCCAGAGGACTCCCATTAGCTCAGCCTACATTCTGTTCCGGGTGGGACATAACTGGCCTGCTTGACGCACTTGCCCATCTCTCAGCCAATCACGGTGAGGAAGGGAGGGGCACATAAGTGAATGGCAGCTCCTATTCTAAACAACAGAAGTAGGGGTGTGTTTTTGAGCCCCAGTAAACAAATTGTCTCGGCTAACCTCATTAATTCTTTTTCCTCTTATGGCTGGAAGCTTGGAACAAGAAATGCAAGAGTCAGGTGGTCTAGAAGATGACAAGGTAATGGTTGGGAAGTATGGTTTTCCCAGTCCACCTAAGCACGAGTCCCTGCATACAGCAGGTACCCAATTAATGCTTATTGAATGAATGACTAAATTAATACTGTTCCCAGAGGCTGTCCTGGGACCGCCCCAATTCATAGACCCTGACCTGATCAGGATTGAAGCGGGGATAGGGGTCCGGCACACCCGTGCAGTGCGTTCCAGAGCGCAGACACCTGCCCCGAAGGGCGGAACCTTTAGGTGACAGACAAAACCTTGAAGACCCCGCCACCATTTAGGGTCCAGTTGGGGGCGGGGCTTCTAGGTCCCAGCATTTTGGATTGCACCATCTTCCATCTGTTAGAGGGGAGATCCTAGAAAGTCCTTCTGTACCTTCCGCCAGCCTTTTACCACTCTCTGGCCATTAAGACGATATATTTGCTTCTCTAGAGACCACACAGTTTCTCCATTCACCTCGTTGCGCCTCACGGCTCCACGCGGCCACACATTTCAGGCTTCCCACCACCACCACCACGCAGTGGCTCGCCCCAGTTTGACGCATTGCAGGGAAGGCCCGACCAATCGGCACCACGCTCTCATTTCCGCCATTGCCCGAGCCCAATAGCGGCTCAGCTCACACAAGGATTCGTCACGCGCCGCCGAGCGTGCCCCTCCGCCGTGGAGGAAAGTGGTGTGGCCACAGGGGGTGGGGCGCGCGACGGAAAGTAGTCCCGCGGCGGGTGCGTGCGCGCGCGGCCAGCAGCAAATCCCAACGGGGTGGGAACCGGAGATCCGCGGGTCCGGCGACGCGAAGAGAGGCGCGGAGGGATCCGCGGGAGCCGCAGTGCGGCGGCACGTGGGCCGGCCGGGGCGGGGCCGGGCGAGGCGGGGCGCGCGGGGCGGCCGTTGAGGGACCGTTGGGGCGGGCGGCGGCGGCGGCGAGCCCTGCGGGCAGTGAGTGTGGAGGCGCGGACGCGCGGCGGAGCTCGATCTGCTGCAGCTGCTGCCGCCGCCGGAGAAACCTTGATCCCCGCGCTCCAGACACCCCGGCCTTACCATGGTGAGTGAGGCTGGGGGGCCGCCGAGGCTAGGGACTCTGAGGCGGGCACGGCGGGGCAGGACCCCTGAGAGGGCGAGTGGACTCAGAATGGGGGGCGTCTGGGCCCCGGCGGGCGCCTCTGGACCCTCTCTGGCCCCCAGTCGTGGACATTCGAACCCAGAGCGGGACGTTTGGGTCCCAAAAAGGGATTTGAGGGCTTTCAAAAGCTACTTTTGGCACCAAGTGGGTTGTTTAGACTTCCAAAATAGGCATCTGAGCCCTCTGCGGGGGTATTTGAACCCAGAATGGAGGGAGCATCAGGACCCTAAGAGGGGGCGTTTGAACACCCCCCCAAAGGGCTTTTGAACCCTGGATAGGGCGTTTGTTCTCTGAGGTGAACCCCAGGGAGCGAGATAAGAAACACTGGCTGGGGAAGCCGGTTATTTGGGGGCCCTGATGAAGGTTTTGGGTCCTGAGATGATGCAGGGAAGAGGGAGGCCGCGCTGCTGGGGAGCTCCCCGAGAGGGGGCTGCGGGTAGCTGGGCCTTGGGTGGGATGGGGATGAGTCCTGCAGATCAGACCTTTGGGGGAGGGGGGTTTTCTAAAAACCAGCATTGCAGAGGAAGGAGGAGGGTGAGGCACATGTTTCGGGGAGGAAGGGCCTGGGGTGGGTGGCAGTGGAGGTTAGAAGATGCTCTTGAAGCCTGCAGGGACTGAAAAGAATTGGGGTCAAGGAGGTGGTTAAAAGGGGATGATGGCAAGACGTGTTTGCCAGCGGTGGGGCAACAGGGGGCCTCATGATTGATTTGGGGGCAGCTCGAAAAGATTCTGAGATTACTAGTGGGTTAAGGCTGTTGATCTAAGAAGAGGGGATTGGAGGGCTCTTTAGGGGGGCAGGGAGGAGTGTTGGGTTTGAATCCATGAGAAGTGACTTTCCAAGGTGAGGGGTGGGAGAGGACTTGGGTAGTGGGAGGTGCAGTGGAAGGAAGCTTGGGGTGGGGGAGTTGGAGGAGAAAATGAATGGCAGCCAAGGTGGGCCTCCGTTTGGAGGTGGATGTGGGTAGCTCCTTGGACGTCTCTGGGGAAAAGGCTGGGACAAAGACTGTTCAGTCTGAATGGGGAGTGGGCTGCAGAGCCAGAGGGAGTGGCTGTACCATTCCCCTTCTCCAGGAAGAACGTGGCTGGGCAGAAGGCACCCCAGCGGTTGGAGCAGGTGGGCGGAGTTGTTCGGGCCCCTATTGCGCACTGAAGTCCCATGAAAATGGGGGTGAGGGATCAAAGTTTAGGATGCATCAAATGAGCCAGCTTTTTTTTAGGCTTTGAACCTCACCCCCTCATTGCCCATTTCAGACCAGGAGAGCTGCTTTTTCCAAACAGGAATGCTGGTTTTCTCATCATTTCCGGCTCCACGCACTGTTCTGCATCTCCTCACTTGTGCCAAATGACAGTGCAGTACAGTGTGGCGTCGGTGACAATCAGACAGCCTGTTTGTGTGGCCTCAGGGTGGGGGCTGCAGAGCTTGACCAGAGAGGACCTCCAGAGGGACCCCTTCATCAGCCTGAGGGTTACTTGCTCTGTTTAGGGCCCTCACTGAATGCTTCTGTTAATTCACACAGCTGAGCTTTGAGAGAAAACCAGCAGACTGGTTCTTTCCTACTCCCTGCCACCCACAACACCCCCAGCCCCCCCAGGCTCAGAACCGTGCGCAGCCCTCCTCCCTGGCAGGGCTGGGGAGAACAGGCAGCCGCTGCTGTGTATCAGATCTCATACTTGCTGACACAGACCTGATGGCTCCTCTCACCGCTACCCCACTTTCCTCCAGCAGAACCTTGCGAAAGGGGCGCTGAAGCAGTGGCAGGTGCCAAGACACCCCCCTCGCCCCCCAGCTCCTAAATCAGATCCAAACTTTGGCCCCAGCTAGTTTCTCTTTCCATTTATAATCAGCAAGGTATGGGTGGAACAAGTCAGTTAACTAGCGTTGGACGGACTTTGGCCTGAGAGCTGTGGCTCCTCCTTGGCCCGGGTGAGGGGCCCTGGCCTTGGTTTCTGATCTCATCTAACACTGCTCTCTGGCATTGGCTGGGGGCTGGGGCAAGGCAGAGAAATAATACCGTCTTCCCTCCCCCACCCCACTATTTTTTTTTCTTGTCCAGCCTCTTGCTGGAACCGAAGATGAGGAATAAGGAAGCAGGAGACCAGCTGGGTTATTTTGGAGACAGTTTTTGGTAAAAGCTTATGATTTTCAGCTCTGGAAAGGGAAGAAGGCCTGAGAAGGGGTCCGTCCCCAGCAGGGTGACTTCTGGGCAGCAGCCATGCTGAGACCTATAGCTTGGAGCTGGGACTTTGCCTTCCCCCAGCAGAGGAGGGGGGCGTCTCCTGACCTGGAGGGAGATGCCTGACCAGCTCTACAGGCAGAGCCACAGCTATTTGCAACCCTGTGACGGTGTGCAGTGCCTCACCTGCACCTTCAGGCCCTTCTGGGGTGGGGAGTAACAGACACCTGCCTTTCAGAGCCACTCTTGAGGGCATTCTGCAACCTGCCCTGGGCTTCCTGCCACATGGTGCCGTGGGGGCAGGAAGGTCCCTGGTTGGACTAGCTTTCCCATCTAGGCCAGGGGAGAGGATGGAAGCAGGTGGCGTGGCGGCCTCCTCCCCAGACTGCTCCCTCTCCCCTCCCATCTTCCTCTTCCCCTCCCCTGGCGTTGCCTGGCCTTGGTAACCAGAAGCCCATCCTCTCTTCTCACTTTCCCTGACAGCTTCCTCGGGTGGCAGGACCTGGGGGATAGGCCCAGGCTTCTTTGCTCTTAGGAGCCAGGGGAAGCACGCGGAGCAGGGAGCTCATGGGCCTGGGGCTGCCTGGTGGGCAGTGAGGAGCCCAGTGGCCCCGAGTCTTCTTCAGGCAATGTAGAAGTGTCTCCATTTAGACTCCGAACCTTCTCTTTAGACTTTGGACTTTTCTAGAATGTGCATGTGTGGTGTTTTTCCTTCTCTACCTTCCTTCTTCCCCCTCCCTTAGCCATCTCTCCTCTGTCAACTATTACTTTGATTTCTCCTCCATTCTGCCTATTTGGGACTTGGCCTCAAGTGCCTCTTCCCTTTGATTAAAAAAAAAAAAAAAGACATTTTAGACCAGTTCTAGTGTGACCAGTTCTTAATATTTGGGACAGGATGGGGGTGTTGTTGCTATCTTCCATACAAGCTCTGGAACCTCTATGTAGAATAATGCAAATGCACACACTAGGGTGCATTGGTTTGGGGGGCCCTCAGACCCAAAGCTAGATAGAACTGGCTATAGACTTGGAGCCGCCTTCCCCTAATTATGAAAGGAAGTAAAGGAGGGGGAGCAGTCAGCCTGGACCCACTTGGTCAGGGGAGGGTGGTACCTTCTTGACAGCATTTAGAGAAACCAAAAAAAAATTCATCCTCTCACTGCCTAAAGCTAAATCTTGGGATTCAGCCCCCACCTCGCTCCTCCCCCAGAGGATCTCTGTACTTGGCTGCTTCCCAGTACACCAGTGCGGGAAAGGCTAGCCTGTCTCTCCTCTGCCCCACCTCCAAACCCCGCATGCAGCATGGGCTGGAAAGGGTTAAAAACTGCAGCGCAGCTAGGAGGGAAGCTGACTTTAGTCCTACAGCTTCTGCCAGCCACTGCTGCTGCCCGCCCCGCCGCAGTCCCCTCCGTGACATTTGCCCCTCCTGCCCAAAAGAAACAGAACAAAATGGTGCCCTGCGCCATCCCTGTGTGCAGGGGAGTGGAGCGACTGCCTCTAGCCTGACCGGGGTTCTTTCAGGCACTCAGAGCCACCATTTAGGAGAATTTTTGCCAGTTGGGTACACCGTGCTTGGACCTGGCACCTCCAAATAGATGACACAGAAACTAGCAGGCAGCCTAGGCACCGTCCCTGTGCCCTACCCAAGGACTGGCCTGTTTCAGTTTGGAGCCTTCTAGAGCTGCTTGATTAGGCCTCTAGGGCAACTGCTCCCTTCACACAGCCTCTGGAGCTCCCAGCAGTGGCGTTGACACTGAGACATGAACCCACACTGTGCCAGTGCAGCTGGTTTGGGGCTGGAGCAGCACTTCTCCTGCACCCTGACTTGGGCATGTCCCTCCCTTGCCCATGTGCATGGGGTGCCATGTGGAGCCGGCCTCACCAGCGAGGGCTGGGCTGAGCCAGGAAGGTGTAGCCGTGATGGCCACTAGCCCACTCACCTGCCGGTGACTAACGTTCTACTTCCTGCTTTTCCAGGCTGACCAGCTGACTGAGGAGCAGATTGCAGGTGAGCTTGCCCACCCCAATCCCCCTCACCCTCCCTCAGGAAGTCCTCTGCATCCCCAGCCAGATCTCATGCCTGCCAGGGCTTACATCTAAGAGATAAACCTGTGTGTCCCCTACGTCACTTAGTGCTCTACCCTGTGCTTCGAATGTTAATAACTGGCGTATAAGAGCACACCGGTGCCCCAGTAACACCAAAGCCCATGGTCCTGAGACCAGCCTTCACCGGACAGCTAAGGCTGCGGGTAATCCGGGAGCCTATTAATTAGTGGCCGCAGGGGTGAGCTGGGCTGTTTGTCCCTGCTCTTGCCAGGTCAGCTCAGCAGGGCAGCTCCCTGCCTCCCTGTCCCACTTTAGGAGATGGCCTGTCACTCCCACCTCTGCACTCCCTGGCGCTTTGCACTCCCCTTTGCACGTGCTCACGCTCACCAGAAATGCATTTCCCCAGTGCTCTCCATGGGCAGCAACTTCTCATCCTTTGGTCTCAGCTCACCGGTCACCTTGGAGAGGCCTTCCCTGACTCCCTCTCACATAGACAACCTTCCTTTACTCTCTGTTATGTCATTCTGTTGTTTTTCTTCATAGCCTTTCTCATCGTCTGACATTATTTTATGATGTCTTTATCTGCCGTACCTCCTGTCACTAGATGTGAGTTCCTGGAGCTGGGGCTTTGTTTTTGTTGGTCCCTGCTGTACCTTCAGTGCCTAGAATCTAGTAGGTGCTCCTTAAATTATTATTGGCTAAATAAATGAACAAAGGAGCCATCACGTATCTCCCAGTAAGCTGAAAGAAATCTTTGGGTCCCATCTAACTCACTTCCGTAGTGTGTCCCTCCCCTCTCTTCCACCCCCAAAAGCCAGAAAGGTCACAGCTGCAGGAACTAGTATGTGACTGAGTGGGTTTCCAGGTCTCCCTTCCCAGATTGAGCTGCCTGAGGACAGATCAGTTCTCGGTTTATCTCCATAGCCATGGGCCAGTCCAGCACACAGGAGCAATGATCCAGAGAATGGGGCCCAAGCTGTAGCTTTGCTGTCGGGTTCACTAGGCTATGTGACAGATACCGGGTGCCCAGCTTCCAAGTGGGAGGAGGCAGGAATGGACTTGCCTTCTCACCTTCCCTCCTCAGCCCTTCCCCCCTACCCCATCCCACCACGAACACACACAGTCAGCTTCTAAACTTTGGCTTCAAGTGGCTATGGAGACCCACTGAGGCAAGCCAGTTGTTTAGTGGTCATAAGTTCAGGGTGCACACATGACCCATTCCCTGCCCCCCAAGAACAACAAGGCCTCAGCACGGGGAGGTGCCAGCATCTCCAAGGAGACTCTCACCATCTCCCCAGGGCCCAGAGGCTCCAGGGCACAGCTTAGTTATGTGTGTGGCTCCCGGCATACCTGCCACCCACACCCCAGCGCTCTGCCCTCGTGTAGCACAAAAACCCCACTCTCCATCCTGTCCCCATTAGCAAACTGTCCACCACCTCACCCCAGCCCACACCTTCTGGGAACAGGCTTCAAGCATCTGTTCTCCAAGGGTTTGGGGGTAGGGAGCACCAGGTGCCAAAATGGGCCCAGTGGGAGGGCAGGAGCCACGTGCTTCTTCCCCGCTCCTGATGCGTCCCCAGCTGTGGCCTTCCCACTCAGCACCACTAGCTCCTCATCCTCCTGGCTTGGCAGCCCTTCCCTTTCCTTCCATCCCCCTACCCACCCCACGCACCGTCCGTCAGCCATGCTCTGCTGCTGACCACCCCCACACTGCACCACACACAGCCATTCACTCGTTCCTCCTCTGGAAGCCGGTAGCATCGCCTGAGGAACTGGGCTGGTGGTACCAGTCAGGAGGAACACGGTGCCAACCAAAGGTGTTCTGTAGGCTCCCCTCCCCTCCCCTTCCCCCTCACGTTCCCTCTCCTCCCCTTCCCTTCCCAGACAGTTGACCTTGGCTGGCATGCTTTAGATCAAGACTTCTCTTGGCTCTCATCCACTCCACTTCATGACATTGGTCCATTTCATCATTTGAGGGAGAGGCCAAAGCCAGAGACCAAAAAGAAATGTAGACTTATCTAACAATAGCCATCAGTCCATTCTCCACCCCCCACTGAGCTAGGCTGGTGGAACAGGTAGCTTTACCCGGCCCAGAGGAGGTGCCCAGTGAGTGCTGACTGAGCTCTGAGGCGAGAGGCTGGGGCTGGAACTGAACTGCAGTCCAGTTCTGGTTTCTGCAGGTGGGCCTAACCCTCGGCCTTGCTCCAGGGAGGGAGCCGGCACCCTGACGTCAGGATCTCCCCCACGTCCTTGACCTCTGATTCATTCCCTTGCTTTCCTCAGAGTTCAAGGAGGCCTTCTCCCTCTTTGACAAGGATGGAGATGGCACTATCACCACCAAGGAGCTGGGGACGGTGATGAGGTCCCTGGGACAGAACCCCACCGAAGCAGAGCTGCAGGACATGATTAATGAGGTGGACGCAGATGGTGAGTCCGTGGAGCGGGTGGGCAGCCCCACGTCTGGTCAACCCTTCAAGCATGGGGAGCCTTCCTTCGGGAATGGAGGTTGTCTCCCAGAGGCCAGGCCAAGGGCGTTTCGAGCTTCCTTTCCACCTTCCAGGGAATGGGACCATTGACTTCCCGGAGTTCCTGACCATGATGGCCCGAAAGATGAAGGATACCGACAGCGAGGAGGAGATCCGAGAGGCCTTCCGTGTCTTTGACAAGGTAAGCAGTCCTTCCCCAGAGCGGCTTTGGGACTCCAGCAGAGAGACGCACAGCACAGCGAGAGCCACTGAGTCACCACTTCCGGGAGGCCTGGGTCCCAGTCCCAGCCCTGCTGCCGCCTCGCTCTGCGGCTTCAGGAAGCTCCTTCCCTACCGATGAGGGAGACTGACAGTCCCCGCCCTACTCCCCCTCTCCCACTGCACCCGAGAAATACCGGCAGACTGCCTCGAGCTCAGAGCCTTTACCTGACCCCCAACACCAGGATGGCAATGGCTACATCAGCGCGGCAGAGCTGCGTCATGTAATGACGAACCTGGGTGAGAAGCTGACCGATGAGGAAGTGGATGAGATGATCAGAGAGGCTGACATTGACGGAGACGGCCAGGTCAATTATGAAGGTGAGCTGGAGCAAGGCCTGGGGTCCCGTGTGTCAGGGAAGGCTACTGGTGGCTCAGCCCCACTCCCCCGCTGACCTCCCTCCCTTTTCCTTCCAGAGTTTGTACAGATGATGACCGCGAAGTGAGCGCCCGGGCAGCTGGCAATGCCCAATCTCTTGATCTCTCTTCTCGCGCGCGCACTCTCTTCAACACTCCCTGCGTACCCCGGTTCTAACAAACACCAATCGGTTGACTGAGAATCTGAAAAAGCAACAAAGATTTGTCCCAAGCTGCATGACTGCCCTTGCTCCTTCCTCCCTGAGTCTCCTTCATGCCCCCCATCTCTTCCTTTTGCCCCGCCCACTTCCATTCCCCTCTTCCAAGGCCTGATGCATTCATAAGATGAGCCTCCTCCCCCCACCCCCATTCCCCCAGGGGTGCCTCTGCCCTCCTCCTCCAGCCCGGGTGGCTCTCCTCCATTTCGGTTTGTTTCCTTTGGTTTGTCATCTTATTTTGGGTGCTGGGGTGGCCGCCAGCCCTGCCTCGGGACCTGCTAGGGAGGGGACGAGGCCCTCACCCAGGCAGAAGAGCATGCCTGTGCCATTGCATGCAACCAGCCCTGTGATTCCATGTGCAAATCCCAGCAGCCTTTTGGGGCAGGGGTGCGGAGAGAGGCATTCCAGAAGGACTAGGGTGAGTGAGGAGTTCTGGTGTTGGCTGGATGTGGCCCCGGAGAGGGTCGAGGGGCAAGGGAGTCTTGGAAGCTGGCATTCTTTTACCACTTGAGGGGGCCAACTCATAGAAGGGGATGGACCGAGTGGACAACACTCAGACCCCAGTGGCTGCTATTCTGAACTCATCTGATTGGCTTCCTGACGCTGGGCTGGGTGGGGGCTGCTCAGTTGGCCACTCTGCAGATTGTACCTTCCCGTGTCCCTAAAGCGATCTCAAGCTGTTCTGTAAATACCTGGTGCTAACATCCCACGCGCTCTGTCATGATGCACCCGCCCACCCGCATTGAGGTCCCCTCATGGGAACCAATGTGTGGGGATGGTCGCTTTATAATGTGCTGGTTGTTTTTTTATTTATGCCCCTAGAAAACTTTAAATTTTGTCAAAAACCATGCTGGGCTAGCTGAGGGGTGGGGAGAGGAAAGATGCACCCCACCAGGCCCTCGAGAGAACACACCTGCAATAAACAATCTAGTCGGCCTGCTGCCTGGAGCCCGGTCCTTGGTGGCTCTGCTTCCTGGCCAGCCGGCCCCTCCTCCATGGTGACTTGCTGGCTCCCTCACATCTGTGCTGTCTCTGTGCCCACCTCTCCCCTCGCCCACCTGCCTGCCCCCACACTCCCCAGCGGAGAGCATGATCCGTGACCTTGCTTCTGACTTTGTGGGACAAGTAAGTCAATGTGGGCAGTTCAATCGTCTGGATTTTTTTTCCTGTTTCGGTTCTTTTCATCTGCCCCCTACCCCCCACCCCCAGGTGGATCAAGTGGCTTTTCCTGGGACCTGCCCAGCTTTGAGAATCTCTTGTCATCCACCCTCTGGCACCCAGCCTCCGGGGGAGGGAGGGAAGCGGTGGGGCATAGTTGGAGACCCAGCCAAGAGCTGAGGGTAAGGGCAGGTAGGCATAAGGCTGTGGACATTTTCGGAGTGTTTTGGTTTGGGTTTTGTTTCTTTTTAAACCGGGCAATATTGTGTTCAGTTCAAGCTGTGAAGAAAAATATATATCAATGTTTTCCAATAAAATACAGTGACTACCTGATGGGCTCTGGCCCTCTTGTTTTGGTGTCTGGGCCTGCTCCCCGCATGGGCCCTGCAGCCCTGGCCTAGAAGAACATTTCCTTCATGCTTACGCCCAAGACTGGGCCTCATCACTGCGAGCAATGGGGTTCTCTGAGCTGGAGTTCAGGTCCTGGGCAGATTGCACAGTTGTTGAGGGCAGGACACTATCCTGGCTATGTAGCCACTCAGCCTTGAATGCTCGCCACAGGTCAGCACTGGGATGCACACATGTGTGAGAGACCAGCCCCACCCTTGGGGGGTTGGGGGACAGCAGACTGCAAGACAAAAACAAGTCCTCAGGATCATGAAGGCATGGTCAGATCCTGGGAGCCTAGGCCGGGTTGGGGATTCCCTACAGGGTGCTCTGGGGACAGGGTGGCATTCACTGAATGAGTCGACGTCAGCTGGGCAGCCTAAGTGCCATGTGGTCCTGAGCTCATGGAGCTTCCGTCAGCTCTGGAAGAGGGCATAGGACTTAGGGAGATGCAAAACTGCAAACTACAGAAAGCTTAACTTCTCTGGGGTTAAGAGGGATGTGAAGAAAGGTGGGTGGTCCAGCAGTGCTGTAGTGGAGGGATGTAACAATGGGGCGGGGGGGAACTGGGCGCTTTTCCCAATACACATGCCCCACCCACAGGGCTGGGGGAATGAAGTTAATAGACACTGTCTAACTTCTGAGCTGCTCACACTTGACTAAGCAGGAGTCAAGCAGACAGAGTTCAGTGGAATAAAAGAACTCCTTCCTGCTGTTCCTCTTCGCCTGGCCTTAGAAGGATGGAGAAGCCTGGCAGGGCCCAACTTCAGGGGCCTGTGGCAGAGATTAGGCCTGGGCTGCATCTTCCACAGAGCCAGTGAGAGAGGAAGTTGGGAGCAGCAAGCCATTTTTTCCAGAGCCCCAGCTCCTGTGCCCTGTTTTTCTGCCATCTGGTGGTTCGGCATTTGGTACAGTAAGACAGTGGGTGTAATGGATAAGCGCGCCAACCTCTGGCTCCAGCACTTAACTGCCTCCCTGGCCTCAGGCAGATGACGGGCTGACCCCAATGCCTCTGGCTGTAGAATGGGGACATAATAGCACCTACCTCCCGGGGCTGGGGCTGAGTCAAGGACTGAGTGAGCCTGCAGGAACAAAGCCTGGGGTCCAGTGGGTTAGCGTTCGTGCTTCTGTGGGGTACTTCCTACCTCACAGGTTCTCTTCGAACTCCTGCATCCATAATCTCAAGTCCTTCAAGCAACCATTGGTGCAACCATTTGGCAGCCTAGAAAACAGGCTCAAAGAAATGAAGAGACTACTCCAAAGTTATTCAGTCAAAAGTGGCAGAGCTGGAATTTGAACCAGAACTGACCCCAAGGAGTCCATGCTCAGTTGTCCAGTTTTAGAGCAAAGAGTCTTTAAAAAAAAAAAAAAAAAGGCGTCAGGCAGGCCAAAGACAGAGCCAGTTAGACTGGGGTCACAGTGGTGGGGTCTGAGATGGGAGCTGCACTCTTAGCCACCAGGAGACCTGTGGAAAAATCTGGCCTCGTAGTTGAGAGGAAGACAGGCTTTGGTGACCCACGGAATTGGCCTCCAGGCCCAGTGTGACTACACACTGCAGTGAGTCTGTGCACTCTAAGCCTCAGGGGCCACTTCTGCCACTCCGACCTAAGCTTGGAGCAGTGACTTCACTTCTCGGCCTCAGTTTACTAGTCTGCAAAATGGAGAAAAATCTATGAAAGGATCATAAAAATATCCCCCTCGGAGGGTTGCGCCAAGCACTTTGTAGGCATCATCTCATTTAATTCTCATCCAGCCAGATTGAATCCTAATAAAAGTCACCCATTTGTGGTGGGCATATGGGCATGAGGTAAGTTATTACTGAGATCTGACAGTACAGGAATGATGGCCCGGCGGGGAAAGCCTCTAGCACCACACTTCCTGGAAGTAGCTGAGCTGGGTCTCAGAACCCCAGATCACTTGGATCCCAACACGCACGCTTTTACCCACCGCCTCCCAGTGCCCGCACGTCTCTACTGCCTATCATTTTCCCCCTCGGGCCCTGTGTTTTGAAAGACTTTTACTCCCAGACAGGCTGCATTATTAAATAATAATGATTTTCCTTTCCCATTCTTTATTAATCAAAGACACATAGATAGCACTTTGAGCTTCTAATGGACCCCAGGCAGGCACTGAAGGGAGCTGACTCCATCCCAAAAGCAAAGAGGTGCTCGCCGTGGGGATCATTTCCAGTTCAGGCTCACAGATCTGCGAGACCAGCTCAAAGCCTGTCCTGACAAGGTGACTAGACGAGGGGACACACCGGGAGGTGCCTGACCAGCACTCAAACGATGGAAATCCAGGTTTCCCTCACTTCCCCAAGGGCCGTGACCATCTAGAGCAGTGGCTCTGGGGCCACTTGTAGATGTCACTCCTAGTGTGACCAGCAGGTGGGGCGATGACTACAGAAGTCCCTGTGAACTGCAAGTCCCAGGGACCAGCCAGGGTGTGTGTATGTGTGTGTGCTTAAGTCCCATCTGTGGGCCAGGCCCGAAGCTAGGAAAACAGAAATGCGTAAAGAAATGAAGTTCAAAATGAGGGAGACAGACGGGTTCCTAGTATGTCACTCCTTGACCCCCAGCCCAGACTAGGGCTAGTGCCACATACATGTTCTCACAGATCCTTGCACTATGCTCTCTCGGTACATATCACAGCTCGTAAGTTTGTATATTGGCTGCTTATCGCAATACATATTTCTGTGATTATTAAATTGTCACCCCACTGGATCATGAGCGAGGGAGGGCCAAGGCGGTATCACTGCTACATCTCCAGTGGGCTCACAGCAGCCTAGGGCCCAGAGCAGGCTCAAGGGGATCTGTTGAATTAATAAATGGAGAAGCTAAAGAAGGGAGGCAGCCGAGGCCAGAGTCAGAACTGAGACCACGACAGAAACCCTCCTGTTAGCTCACTTCCAATCCTCAGGTCCCAGCTCAGCCGTGCCCTCCTCCAAGAAGCCCTCCCTGATGTCTCCCTAGATTCTCCCTCCCCGACCCCCAGCCCTGCCTGCCTGAGTGTGAGCCCCAGGAGGGCAGGGCCAGCGCTGTCTCTGTCACTGCCATGTCCCCAGCATCACAGGGACAGGACCTGCCGTACAGTCAGCCCTCAATAAAAGCCTGCTGAGTGAATGAGTGTCTGTACTAGGTAGGCTGCAGTGAGTGTCACCATGGAGCCCAAAAAGTGCTGAACATGCCTGAGAGGTGAGATTAAATCTTCAAGGAGGAGGAGTTTAAGCAGGATCTTGAAGGGCCACGGTGGTTTTGACGGATGGAGAAGGGGAAGAACACTGTTCCAGGAAGGGTGAGCTCAATTAGCAAAGAGATGGAGGCCTGAAAGGTCACAGGCTGTTTGGAGAAAACTCTGTTGTCTGCTGTGGCTGAGCAGAGCCCGTGGGAGTTGACCCTTGTCCTCCAGACCCTGGGAGCCCTTGGAGCTTTGCAGGCAGGGGAGTGACCACTTGGACAGGACCTCCCAGACAGGACCTTGGCAGCTAGCAGGATACACGGGCAGTCAGGGGTCAGGACATCCGCTAGGAGAGGAGTTCCCAAACCATCCCTGAGGGGCTGCAGGTGGACGGGGTGGGAGTTGATTGAACCCCCCTGACCTGGCAGACATCCGTGTAGATATCCAGGCCAGAGGTGGCGGGGGTCTGAGATAAACAGTGGGATGCAGAGGAGAGGACGAGTTCCTGAGAATTTAGGCCTGGTGGGTAAGAGCCAGCAGAATCATCCTCTCGTCCCCTTAGTCCGCATCTGAAAAACGATCATGGTAATAGCACCCCCTTCAGGCCAGGATGCTGTGGGTTCCAATGCCCAGCCCTGCGCTGGCATTTAGGGAGACCTAAGACCAGATGGACAGAGCTGACCCACCTTTGGAGGCATCACAGAGAGAGGAGGGGAGTGTCCCTAGGGGTCGTGCCTGGACAGGCAGGCCCCGTCTCTCTGCAGCTCCCCCACCCCATCATCCCTTCTCCACCCTCCAGGAGTCCCTTTGGGTTGATTCCCATGTTTGACGACAAAGGCCGGATCCCACCAGAGGTTTCTTTACCTGATTTTTGCTTTTTGTACAAGTCAGTTTTATTATTAAATTCAACCAATACAATATTACTTTGTCAAGACTGCTGTTAAAGTTCCTACACACTCTCAATTTTTTTTTTAGTATTACAGTTTTATTTATTATTATGGTAAAATGCCCATAACATAAAACGTATCACTTTAACCTTTTTAAACTGTATGATTCAGACACATTTAGTACATTCACGATGTTATGAAACCATCACTATCTAGTTCCAGCACATTTTCATTACCCCAAAAGGAAACCCCAAACGCATTAAGTTGTCATCTTGACAGATTTTTTTAACTCTCCAAGACACCCCTTGTTCTTCTTTAATGTGATTTGAAACATAGTAACTGAAAAAAAAAAAAGTCAAAACAGTGGAGCAAAATATCGCTTTGTTGTCAGATAGCAAAAGACATTTGCCCAGATAGCGAAAGACAAGGCCAATAGCAATAACAGCAGTGTTTACTGTAGGCTGTACTCCAGACCCTGTGCTAAACTGCTTTTCAGGAGGAATTATTTCGTCCTCAACACAACTCTGTAAACTAAGTACTAGGTTATGATCGCCTTTCTACACAAAAGGAAGCCAAGGTACAGAGTCCATCACTGGCTCAAGTTGCTGGGCTCCAGAGACAGACCAGCTCCACCGCAGGCTGGGCGTGCTTTCTTCTCCCTGTGTGACCTGGGGCTGGTGATTGCCCCTTCTGGACCTGGATTTCCACCTCTGTAGAAAGGCTGGCTGTAAAAGCAGGCTGGAGTGAGAGGGGGCACCTCGCAAGGAGGAGGACTCGCTGATGTTAGCTGCTATAGAAGGCTCTGGCCTTGCCTATCCCACCCTTCCCCAGCTGCCGATTTATTGTTTTAACCCAGAAGCAAGTGAGAAAGAGGAACTGGAGCTGGCAGGGTGGGGTCGTGCAGGGGGTGCTTTCATGCCAGTTGGGCCACTCCGGAGCACCCTTGATTCTGGGCGTCTCTGAGGGCACGGGATAGCAACCATAAGAGGGGAGGGGTGGAAGGCTGGAAATCACCCAGCAGAGTCCAGGTTGGGGCAGAGACTGGTCTGTGTGCCCAGCACCTGGCAGAGCCAGTGCCCACTATTTGTTGAATTAATTAATTAATTAATTAATTAATTAATGAAATTTTTGTGAGGGCTCCAAGGACACATGAGGTGAGGTCATGCTCTGCCAGGAGGCAGCTACTTATTTGGAGACAAACGACTTAGGTCTGTGTTCCTGGGCTGTACCTGGGATTTGCCCACACCCATGGGCCCCCCACACACACCCATGCCCCCAAATCCCATGTCTTATGACTACCAAGCCACGCAATGCAGCATCTCCCCTTCCTCCCGCCTCTCCTGGGGGGGGGCAGGGCAGGGCTCCCAAGTTTGATGGGGAATCAGAATGGGAGGGGAGGCAGGGAGTCCCTGGCTCTCGGAGTGGCCTGGGAGAGGGCAGGATCATCCCCTGGAGATTTGGGATGGGGAGCCGGGGCACCCTGAATGGATGGGGACCAGCATAGGAACACTAATCCTAGCAGACCCAAGTGCACGGGAGCTCCTGGGAACTTTTCTGCCTTCTAAATATTTAGACAGTGAGATGGACGGCCATGCGAGGGCCAGACCAGGCTGGCCAGGCCACTGGTTATTTTGAGAGAACTGTTCTTGTGCTCCAGGATAAACGTTTCCTCCCTCACCCCCTCTTTTCCCAGAGCCTGTTGTGGCCACCCTGAAGAAGAAGAAATAGCAGCTGATCACCCCCTGAATTCAGGGGGTCAAGGGTTCTGGCAGGCCAGGGCTCCAGGATCCATCTCTTTGCTCATCCACCTGCAGCCATCACCCATGCCCGATTGTCTAGCTTCTGCCCCCGGAAGTCAGGGCAGGAGATCACGGGTCAGCCTATGTTATCAGCAGAGGGAACAGGCTGCCGTGGACCCCACTTTGGATGACGTTCCCATGGTGCTGTCAGATGGCTGTGCTGGAGGCAAGGGTGACCCCTGAGCCTCGCCCCAGGCTGACAAAGGCACCCAGTTCCCCTCCTTACTCCCGAGAGTGGCGGGGGCCCTTGGGTCCTTCCTCCCTGAGGCAGGCTGGGAGAGGGGTGTCTGCGAGTGGCTGTGGGCAGGACTGGGGCAGAGGCAGCAGAGCCAGAGCTTGAGGCGCTGGAAGACGGCCTTGCGGAAAAGGATGAAGACCCAGGGGTCCAGGATAGGGTTGAAGGCGTTGAAACGGAAGGCCATGAGGTCCCCCATCTCATTGCTGTCTGGAGCGATGGCCTGAGTGAAGCCGCGGATCTGAGGACACAGCGAGGGCATCAAGAAGCGCCCACCTCCCCACACCCGACCCCCCCACCCCACTCCCTTTCACCCATTTGCTTGCTGCAGAAATAAGAGAGGGGAAGGAAATAAGATAAGATGAACACTAAGAGATAAACGCATCTGGGGAGCAGAGACACAAAAGCCTCAGGAAATACCACAGAGGCCTAGAAGGTGAGCGATGGGGCCATATGGATGGGTCCTGGAGCTGTGCCTGTGTGCATCTGTCCACAGCTTCCTGTGTCATCATAACCCCCTAAACGTTTGACAACCCTCAAATCTAACCCAGCCTTACATTTTACAGAAAGAGAAACTGAGGCCCAGAGTACAGGTGGGATGACGGGGTGCCTCGGTACAGGGGTCTTGCCCTGCTTCAATCAGGAAAAGGCTGGGCAGGCTCCTTCAGGAAAGCGGTGAGGCCAGGAGATCCATGGGCCGTCAGAGGGTGGGGCCGGGGTGGGGAAGCTTGCGGGGAGGGGCCAGGGGGAGTTCAGACTTTGGAATCAGAAGAGCCCGGGGTCCAGACCCAACTCTGTGCGATCATATGCCCCTTGTCTATAAAAATGGTGACAAGACAGGAGATGTGTCCTATTTCTTGGTAAACGTAGAATGCGAGCATAGGTCATTTTAAACATGATCTTAAAAAAGATTGGTAAACCACTGAGCACAGGGCATAGAGCAAGTGCTTGATGAGTCATGGCTGTTATTATCATTAATGGGTAGGGGAAGGTTGAGTGTGCATTTGGGCGGGGGCGTGAGGGCCTGGAGATGTGGGAAGGGTATTCAAGGGGTCAGGAGGTGTCACATGGGGCACAAGCAACTGGGGAGAGATGTCTCCAAAAACTCGGGAGTTGTCTGTGGCCAGAGCCTCTGGCCTCTTTGATTCTCAGTTTCCCCATCCACGAAATGGGCACAAACAATTGAAAACCGCCCCCCTCCCATCACCCACCCTAACTGCAGAGGGGACTCACCGTGAGAGGCAGGGAGCACACAGCCATGATGCCTGTCATGAGGGCCAGCAGAATCAGATGGTCCACTTCGTCCTCACCCTTCCGGGGGCTGGGGACCAACGAGCCCTGGTGGCGCCTCTGCTGGCGGTACATGCGGCAGAGGCTAAGGGTGACGGAGCCGTTGCAGAGGACGATGGCGGCCACCAGCAGGGCCACGAGGCTGGCGTAGGCCAGGGAAAAGGCGCAGCTGCCCAGCTGGGTGGAGCGCATACGGATGAAGCACCAGCTGCCTGGGCAGTACTGCTGGTGTTGGCCCAGGCCCACCAGGGGCAACGAGCAGAAGAGGGTGCAGAAGGTGTAGATGGCGGGCAGCGCCAGGCGTGCGCAGCGGGGCCCATCCAGCTGGGCGTAGAGGTAGGGGTGGCTGAGCGCCAGGCAGCGCTCCACAGCCATGGCGCATAGGATGAGCGTGGAGGCCAGGCCGAAAAAGGTCATGGCGAAGGCGAAGGCGTCACACAGCACTGGGCGACCCCAGGCCAGGCCCAGCAGCGAGCTGTTGCGGGCGTAGGCCACGAACACAGCCGGGCTCAGGAAACACGTGCCCAGCAGGTCGGTGACCGCCAGTCCAGTGACCAGCACAGCAAACGCCGAGGGGCGTGACCGCCGCCGTACCCCCAGGATGCCCAGCGCCAGCCCGTTGCCCACCACCCCGGCCACAAACATCAGGGTGCTGGTGGCCGGGCCCACCGAGTCCCGCACATAAGTAAGGTTCCTGCACGATTCTGCCATCCCAGCCTCTGTCTGCCGGCCTGGACTGGAGGGGCCCCAAGGGTGGGAGGTAGGGGGTGAGGGAGAGCCGTCTGCCCCTAGGGCCACTCAGATGCCCACCGCCCACCTCCCCATGGTCCTCACCGCAGCAGAGAGGGTGGGATGGGGTGGCGTCTCCCAGTCAACCCACACTCCTTGTGTAGTCTGCCTATCTGTCTACGCCTCTCTCCCTTCCGTCTCCTCCAGTCTCTCTCGCTCCGTCTCCCTTTCTTTCCTCCTCTGTCTCTGTTTCCTCCTTCCCTCTCCTGGTCCTAGTTCTCTCCTTCTGTCTCTCTGTCTCTTGCTGTCTCTGCCTCTGTCCCCTCCCTTGTCCACCCCCTTTGTCCCTCCCCACTTCCCACTGCTTTCTATCCCCTTCTCTGCATTTCTGCCTTTGCAGCCCCTCCTCACCGCACCTCTGCTGGTTCTCTCAGGCCCTCCTCTGTCCCCTCACTCCGGTCTGGTCTGGCCTCGCTGCTGACTGTGAGGTCTCCCTGTGACAGCTTCTCCCCGCTGCCCTCCCTCCTCCTCCCTACTCATCTTGCCTGCTCACCCAGGCTTTTTCATTTCCTCTCTCTGCCCCGCCTTCCTTCCCCCTGCTTTCTCCAGAGGCCCCCTCCGCTCCCTCCTGCCTTCCCTGGAGTGCTCTCTGTCCCCCTGCCCAGCACATCCATCTCCCACCTCTGTCTCCCCTCCCTGTGTCCTCCCATGGTCCCTATCCCTGAGCCACCTGCCGCCTCCCCACACACACAGGTCTCTGCCCTTCTCCCTTCGCCAGCATCCCTCTATGGCTCCTGGTGGGGATCACTGAGTCATCGTCACGCTTGGAGTTTGGAGCTCACCACGGGGGCCGTGATGGGACCTGAGGGGCACAGCTGGCCAGACAAAAAGGCTGTCTCGGGGTGGCCTCTGGGATCTATTCTGGGCTCCCGGCCCCGGGGTTGAGAAATGACCGGGAAATTCCTGCCTGATGCAGTGTTTTCCAGGCACTACTGAGATTTCTGTTCCCTGGACACAATTCACTCCTTCTAGAAGGCTGAGGAAAGAGGTGGCTGGGCCGAAGGAAAAATGCCCGTCCCTGGAACCATCCTCAGGCACCCCGCTGCTCACATCCTCACCCAGCAAAGCCCTGGGAAGTGGAGAGCACCCACCTGCCCTCTTGCTTCTCACCCCAGCACTCCCAGGCCCCAGGCCAAACCCTGGTGACCTTGACCTCCAGAAATAACATTGTAACCACAAACAGCAGTCCTGGGCTCCAACATCGCTGTCACATTGATCTTTCCCATCCCTCCCCAAATGCACCCCCAGCTGCCGCTGCCCTGAGTCAGTCTGCTAGGCCTGCGTGTCCCAGCTGCCAGCACAGCCATCACTGGCCCCCTTCCCACTGAGCCCACCGCTCCCATGCAGTCTCCCCACCCATAAGGGCCAGAGGGGACCTCAAAGAAGACCCTTTCAGACATGCCTTATTTTTCAGGGAGGCAGTTTAAGTGTAGAGATTACAAACTCAGAGTCTCACTCCCTTTGACTTGAGTTTTGATCCCAGTTCGACCACCTCCTTGCTGTGTGATGGTCCCAGCCCATGCACTTCAGTTTCCTCATCTATACAATGAGATAACAACAGCTTCTTGGGCTGGTGGCTGACCATGGCCAGCAGCCTATCCCAGAGCCCTCTCTGTAACAAGGAGAGAGCCTGTGCAGACATGTCACTTCCAAGGCCAGGAGCAACGCTCCTGACCCCCAGGGCTGGACACTGGGCAGCTGCAGATTTCCCCTCTCTGTCCTTGTGTCCTTGGGTGACCACAACCTTCTCGCCTCTCCCTCTCCATATCACCATGCCCAGCTGGCATCCCCAGCTTCCAGTAGGCAGGATGGATGTCCCAACTCCAGCCATACCAGGGGTTCTGAGAGTGACCACACAGCCGTGCTCTGGGAGTGCCCATGTATGCGGGTCTCAGGCCTCCCAACCACGTAGTCCCCCCTCATGTCCTGTGGTCGCCAGGCAGACCAGAGGGAGCTCAGGAAGTTATATGATATTAATGAAGGATGACGCCTGGCAGTCTTGCATCCTGTCTCTGCATCCGGAGAGTTGTGGGGTGGGGGAGCTCTGGTCCCCAGAGCTCTCCCTCCCACTGACTTCCTGTCCCCACCAGTGACTTCTGAGTATTCTGAAAAATCCCCTCTGCTCCCATGCCCAGTGAGATCTCAGACAAGCCCCTGCCCCGCTCCAGGCCTCAGTTTCTCCACCTGTGCTGGTGCGGGTGGGGTGATGCCCTTGCAACCCTGGCATCAGTTTCGTGCTTGGGGAGTAGGTGGGGTGGCCCTGACTGTAACTCATTCCTAATGAGAGGACTAAGGATCCCTGGGGTTCCTGCTAGTCCTAGACACACCTCCACTCACCTTCTGGGGACCCGCAGCCTCCCACCCAACTGAAGCCCCAGACAGACCCACAGCAAGGGCTACAAAGGGTTCTTCTTTCATCCAGGTGCCATGGAGTGAAAGGTCACCCTGCTGAGCAGGGGGTGGGAGGATGGCTTCCAGGGCGGTTTGGGGGAGGGGCGAGCTATGGGAAGGAACTGCTCTGGGTGGCTGAGTCAGCAGCTGTGAGGAGCAGGACTCACCTCCCCAGAGGGACCCCAGGGCAGCAGGCAGAAGAGGGAGAACAGCCCAGAGACAACTAGAAATGGACGCACAGCACCAGGGAGGAAGGGAGATAGGCACCCAGGAGGGGGGGTGTGCTAGGGACTGTGGCTATGCAAATGGCATGCGTGGGCAGGCGTTATTTTCTGTAAGGGCTGTTTGTGCCTCTTTTTACGTGTCTGTGAGTCTGTTTATTGTGGGCTCATGTGTTTCTTTGTAGCCATGTCTAGTGTGTGTGTTTGGTGTGGAAGGGCTGCCTGGTACAGGGGAAAGGGATGGGTTTGGAAGCTCACCGCCACCACTCACCAGTTGCTGTGTGGCGGTGGAAAATGACTTCCCCTATCTGAACCTGATGCCTTCATGAAATGACTGCCTTGCCCTTCCTACCTCCAGGGAGGCTGCTGGTGTTGTTATGATTCACCCAACAAACCCTAACACACTGTATATACCAAGGGCTGGGGTTGCAGAGGGGTTCAGAGGGCACCATCTGACGGGGGTATGTTCCCACACGGTATGGGATGAGTTAGAGCTGGAGCCTGGGCAGGCAGGAGTCATTCCACACCCAGCGAAGACTCCCTTCTGGGCGGGTATCCATTAGAGGACAAGTGCCAAGCGGGCCAGGAAATGGGGCTGCAATGGGCCTCTCCCACGCCTGCTGGCCAGTGCCTCCAGCTGCCTGCCCAGGCCTGCGTCTGGATATGCTGCTGATCCCAGCTCGCCCTAGGCCTGGCCCTCTCCTAACTCTCTGGTTTCTGAGCTCCTGGCCCTGCCTTGGGAAGAGGCTGGCCCCATCTCATCACACACACACACACACACACACAACTGCCAAGCCTATCCTTTGGCCTGTGCCCTCTCACTGCTGTGAGAAGCTGCTGTGTGTCCCTCCTGACCTGCCCTTCCTTGGCAGGTCCCAGCACTTACAGCCAGAGGCCATTTTTTCTCAGCCCACCACCCTTTTCTCCACGCCAAATGGCTTCCTGCCTCTGCTCCAGGGGGCTCTACTTTGATGTCCCTGCCCTGCCTTTGCCTGGGCTGTGCTCCTCACCTCGGATACCCTCCCTTCCATCCTTCTCCTTCAAGTCCTCCCTCAACTCCTCCTGAGTATACCCATCTCTCCCACTCCAACCTCAAGCCCCAACTGGCCAGGTGACGACGCCTACCCAGGCCTGCTTGCCATGTCTGTAAAATGGGGCTGAACCGAGTCCCTTTGGGAGTTAGCTAAGAATGAAGTGAGATGGGGTATGTGAAACAGGACTCCCAATAAGTGATGGCCATGACTGTGGCTCGGTTGGCTCTGGGCTACCCCTTCAGCATCCCCTCAGCAATGCCAAGCACTGCTCTGAGCACATGGGGTGCAGGGTGGGAAGAAAGACAGCCTGGGAGGGGCAAGCCAGTAGTCCTCAGGGTTTGGGGTGAAGTGGGAGGAGTCTGCTGAGAGCAAGCACTTCCCTAGGCGTTAGCTCTCTGCCCCTTGGACAGACGCTGACCCCAGAGCCGACCTCACACGACCTCACAGCGGGAGAGGGGGTGGCAGGAAAGAGCAGCGGGTGACCAGAAGCGGGTATTGCAGTGTCACACCCACTAACAAGATTATCTGTGTTTGCACGCATGGAGGCTGGTCGTCAGGAACCGACGCTGTCCCTTCTGGCCTCCCCTCCCTCCCGGCCTCTGTCATGACCAGCGTCTGGGTCCAGGCTTACCCGGCTCCCCTCCACCCTACCCCAGGCAGACATCTCCCTTCCTTACCCCACGTCAGACCGCCCCGCTTGCTCCTCCTCAGCTTTCATTCCCCAACACCAGGAATTCCAATAGGGAAGCTCCAAAGATCCCAGGGCATCTAAGCTCAAGGAATTCTTACACTTCTGAAGTGCTGGACAAGGGGGCGGGACCCCAGAATCGTGGTCCTGCAGGTTTGAAAGATTCCAGAATTCCAGCCTTTCAAGTCCTGGGAGTCTACAGTAGATGCCTTTGCATTTCAGGTTCTAAGATGCAAGGATGCTGGGTCTGAGAAATTCCGGAATCCTCCTGGCAACTTCCCTCCAACACCTCTCCCCACCCTGCCACACCACCCCCCAGCTCAGCCTTGGCTCACTCTGTCCCCTGTCTCCCCTGGGGCTCCCATAGACATGATGCAACCAAGCCAGAGCCGTCTGAGAGGTGGGAGGCAGGAGGGAGATGTAATTACAGCTGCGCCTGTCTTAATTCAACAGGAAGCTCAGAGTTGGGGCCCAGGGGACCCTAATCCGAAGTGAATAATGGAGCACTTACCAGATCCATGCACAGCCCCCTCTAGGGAGGGGAGACCCAGTGAGCCATGCAGATCGGGAGGTCCAGCCCCCATCAGCCACAAACTAGGGAGCAGAGGTGTTAGGCTCCAGAAAAGAGGAGGTAGGGGTTTGGGGTGGGGAGGGGGTCATGAACTCAGTGGCCTTTGGGCCAACCAGATAAAATAATTAACCAAACCCAACAGCTCACTCAGTCTGTATTTCCTCATTTCCAACAGACATTTCAAAACATTTCACCTTTCTCTTCATTCTACTGTAAGAAGCCCCCAGCACAGGCTCCATGATAAATAGCAACTGGCCCTCGGCCTCTTCAACTGACAGACAGCAGGGCAGGTGGGGAATTTGGAGAGCTGGAAAGCCCAGGACCCATCTCATAGCCTATGGTCACCCTGTTGTGTAGATATGAGGTCACCAGACCTTCCAGTTCTGGAGAAGCCGGAAGTATGGACTCTTATGTGAAATACTCTGTTTTTCAATTTGGCAACCACATCAAGGACATTTTTAAACATTATATAGGCCAAAAGTAGAGCGCAAAAAATTATAGAACTGCAGGCTGCATACGAGTATGTCCTATGGGCTACCAATGTGTGAAATGGGAAACACAGGGCAGGAACCAGAGCTGTCAGTCACCCATGCATCCCCAGATCAAAAAGAAATAATTGTTGAAGGAAGGAATATACACATTAATTTGTCTCCTCTCCCTCTAGCCACACTTCCCTCTTCTCTGGGTCCCAAGTTTTATTACCACATCCCAGCGCAGATGTCTCCTCCTCCAGGAAGCCCTCCCTGACCCCCAAGCTGAGTCACGTGCTCCCTCTGAGCTTCCGCAGCCCAGCCCTGCCTACTCAGAGTCGTCACTATCCGGGGACATGTTTGTCTCTCCTACTGGATTCTGAGCCCCAGGAGGGCAGGGCCAGGGCTGTCTGGGTCACAGCCATGTCCCCAGCTTCAACCAACACACGGCAGGTACACAGGGAGTAATTGGAAGAATGAACAAATGAATGAATGAACAGAGTTCAGTGTGTAAGGACAGAGGTAGGCCTGTGGCAGGGGGTAGCCAGATGTGAAAAAAAAGGGTGGATTCATTTAGGGATGAGAAAGGTGGGAAGAGCACAGAGGTCCCAAGGAGTCTCAAACCCAGGAGGGAGGAGAGGAGGCCTGCTGAGGGGTTCAGGGAGCGCTGCAGGCAGAAGTCTTCAGCCTCCTAGCTGTGTGGCTTTGAGTAAGGAACTTCCTTTGGATCCCTTTCCTCATCTGTAAAATGGGTATTATACAAGTAGCCAGCTGCTTTTGGGGCTGTTGGGGCGATTAACTAAAGTCAGGGTTGTGGAGCACTCAATGGAGCCTCATTTCCTCGGATGCACCCTCTGTCTGCATCTACACACCCCACATAACCTTGTCCCCACCCCCCACACACACACACACACGCACACACTCAGAAGGGGTGAGAAGGGACACAGGTTCCTCCACGGTGAACCCAAGCTCTGCGCGTGCCTCAGTTTCCCCGAAAGCACAGGTACCACCACAGTCGCCACGTTTATTGGATTCATACTTTGGCAGGGGAGGATAAGCTCTCAGGTAGGCTCAGAGCAGGATGCAAAAGAGGCGCTTGTCGCGGAAGGGGTTCTCTGCGGCCGGTACCGGCGTCACCAGCGGGTCGTCTTTGGCATGCGTCTCGCAGAAGGCCAGTAGCTCGGCCGCTGCCTGCGACACCTGCGGGAGCCCGGGTGATGTTCGCTCCCTGCCCTGCCCAAGGCCCTCCCCTTGCCCGGGTCCAGCCTGGTTCAGAAGGGGATCTTACCCCCCTCCCGAGGCTCCGGGCCCCACTCCCACCAACTCCAGGTCAAGACCCAGCCCTCAGCTGCCGCCTTCCTCCCACCTCGACCAGGCACCTTCATGCGGTCGATGTTCACTTCCAGCTTCAGCTGTTCCACGGTCTTGCGGGCCTCCGCGATCTTGGCCATGTTGTTGGACATGGCTGCGGCGGGGAATGAGTTAAAGGCCAGGCGGGAGTGGGAGCTGTGTGTAGGATAGGCTAAGGACAAGGCTGGGTCCCCAGGTAAGGGCGGTGGCTGCGTGGTGGGATCCAGCAAGAGGGGTGTGGGTGGAAGGGCGCAGAAGTGGGTTTCCGGAGGCTGGTGGAAGGAGGTACAGGAAAACAGAGGGAAAAGTGGAGGGATGGAGGGCCGCACAGAAGCGGGACCAAAAGGCAGGGGGAGGGAGGGACAGATGAACAGGGAGAAGAAGAGGGGTGAGAGGAGGGATGGAAGGGAGCACAGATGGGGTACCTAGTGGCAGGGGGAGGGAGGGACAGAGTGGGGTGAGGAAGGCAAGAGGGAAGCTCAGATTTGAGGCTGAGCGGCAGGGGCCACAGGTGCTAGATCAGGATCCAGGTGTCCTCAGCCCCCAGGGATAGGGCATGAGCCAGGAGGGGGGCCCTCCCCAGACCAATTAGCGGTGGCTCCTGGGAGAACAAGGAATTAAGATCTCGGCGGGAGGGGCGCAGAGGGGGCCTCATTAGGACCTTGGCAGCAGCTGCCCCCTCTGCCCCCCTCAGGGAGCTCCCCCACCCCAGCCCTGGCCACCTCAAAGGTTTCTCTGCTCATTAGCAGCCAGAGAGAGGGCTGGGGCAGGGAGGGGGGGTGGCAATCCAGACATGACTGGCAGAGGGGCAGAGAGGATGGAGAGAGGGACAAATTGGAGGGGCAGAGGGAGAGACAAAGTGACAGAGGGAGAGACTGAGGCATAGGAGAAACAAAGAGACTGAAGAGGGAGAGAAAGAGGTGGAGACATGAAGGAGGGATGAAGTGATGGAGGGAGTAGGGGATGGACCAAAAGAGAGATAAAGAAAGGGACAGAGTGATACAGGGGGAGAGAGGTACAGAGGACAAAGGGACAGAGCGGGGATAGAGAAGGGGAGATGGAGGAGTCCAGGAGTGATGGAGTGATGGGGGTGGGAGAGGATAGATAGGGACACAGGGAGGGGTAGAGGAAGGGACAGGGATAGGAAGGGAGAGATAGGCACAGGGGGATAAAGGGACAGAGGAGAGAAGGGACCAGGGGTAGAGAGAGGGAAATGGAGGAGCTGGAGGAGAGACAGGTTAATGGAGACACCGAAGTATAAATTCATTCATTCACTCATTCATTCATTCATTCCCAGGCGGACAGACTGACTGAGGCGCAAAGGGAGGAGCTGTTGGGGCCAGGACGAGAGCCTCCTACCTGTTGTTGCCTAGGGCTGGGATGGCGGGCTTGTGGCAGAGGCTGGGAGACAGCTTCTGGGTCCCCCTGCCCATCCCAGCCCCGCCCCCTCCCCCTGAGGCACAGTCCCTGAGGACCCGCCTACTCCTGATGCTGCCACCGCCATCCCTACTACCTTTGCCACCTTGGGTCTGTCTCTCTGGGTCCCGTCTCTGTCGCTCTCCCCCTCTCTGTGTCTGTTTCTGTGTCTCTCTCCCTCTGTGTCTGTCGCTCCTGTTTTCTGTGTCTCTTTCCCTTTCTCTGTCTCCCAGTCTCCTCTCTTAATCTTTATCTCTCTCCTTACACACACACTCACAGGAAAAAGAAAGACTCTCAAGGTGTGCCCTACACCCTGCTGCATTTATCTCAGTCACACAAATCTCTTCTGTGTGTCCCACACAGCCCTTCACTCCATCACACATGCTCTCCCACGGTGTCGCACCTGCCATCTCAGTGTCACCCCCTTATAGACGACTCCTCTCAACACAGACTCACACTCCCAGTCCCTCGCACAGAGATGCACAATATCTCACTGTGTCACATGGTTTGCCCACACAGTCTCACAAACAACCTGTGCTCAACACACAATCTCCCACAGTGCCACAGTCACATGGTCTCTCAAAATGCCACACACAGGGGCCAGCCGAGTGGCTCAGTTGGTAAAGAGCGCGAGCTCTGAGCAACAGGGTTGCTGGTTCGATTCCCACGTGGGCCAATGAGCTGCGCCCAAGCTGAGCTGCCGCTGAGCTGCCAACAGTTGGCAGGATGGCTCAGCTGGTGAGAGCACATGCTCCTAACAACAAGGTTGCTGGTTCAACTCCCGCATGGGTTGGTAGGCTATGCCCACCTGCAACTCAGGTTGAACACAGCACCTTGAGCTGAGCAGCAGCAAGCTGCCGACGGGCGACTGGACTTGGAGCTGAGCTAGCTGCGCCCTCCACAACTAAGACAGAAGGACAACAACTTGGCTGTTCCCCTTCCCCAATTTCCCAACACTGCTCCCCTTCCCCAATTCCCCAATAAAATCTTTAAAAACAAAATGCCACACAGTCCCTCACAGTCTTTCAGAGTGTGATACATCATCACCAATGACATCTCGCCCGACCAGTCAAATATACTATCTAAGAATATTACACAGTAAGTCACATATCCAGTGACTCCCACATACAGTCACATGCATTCTTACACAATCTCTAACTGCCACACACAATCTTACACATTCCCGGACACAGAGTCTGTCCCTACCCACACACTGTCATGTACAGAATCTCTTGCTGAGCCTTACACAGTCTGTATCATACACAGGTGTCACCCTCACACAGCAGTCTCCCAGTGCCACACCTTTACACACACAAGGTCTCTCTTGTACTTTCATCTCTGAGTGCCTTGCACAGTCTCACCCACTGTCACAACGCTGTGCCAGTCTGTCAGTCTCCCACATGATCTGCATCACACAGTCACACACAGTTCTCACAGTTCATCAGTGTGGCTGACACTGCCTCACACTCACATACTCTCTCTCTCACACCCAGTCCCCCGGGGCCTCTCACACTGCCTTCTCACGCCATCTCTGGGTGGATCACATTGATTCAGTCTCACACATCACCGGCTCATGTGACTCACACAGAGCTCATGTCCTCAACACGTTACACACTGTCACACACAATCTCTCACTCTCACATATGGTCTCTCGATGTCACAGTCCCCGAAATAGTGTCTCAGGCGCACCCAACTTCATGGTGTCACACACAGTCACCTACATGTTATTGCTCTCATCTCACATACAGTCACACACAACCTGTAGGCGTAACACAAGATTTCACACAGTCACACTCTGTTACACTGCATCTCACAAGGTCACACAGCCACACACAACCTCTGGCATCATGCACAATTTCACAGTAGTACACATTCATACAATCTCTTGGTGTCACACGCCATCCCTCGGTGTCATCCACGGACACCCACAGTATCCTGCATTCAGCGCACTCAACCCTCTGTCCTCTCCTGACAGTCTCCTGCCGGCCACACGGGGGCGCCCGCGGCCCACCGAGCCGCCCACCCCACCGGTGCCAAAGCCATAAAAGGAGGTGGAAATCAGGAGGGCAAGGAGCCTCTGCGGGCCCGCTGGGGTGCCCACATGGGAGAGAGACACAGGAAAGTGGAGGGAGCTAGAGGTAGAGAACTGACGATGGATTGGGACACAGGGACGGGGAGAGAGATGCAGAGAGAGACAGACGCCGAGAGAGAGACATGGCTATGGTGACAGAAATTTGGAGACTCAAAGAGACAGGGACAAGCAGAGGATTGCGGAGAGACAGAGACACAGAGACTTGGGAAAGTACAGGAGAGACACACAGAAGTGTAGGGTCGGAGACAGGGAACAAGGAATACAGACACCCAGACAGGGACAGGCGGGGAGAGACAGATACTCAAACCGCGCCTTCCACGGGGGACAGTGGCGGAGGCGGGGCCTACAGAGGTGCATCCAGGGGTGTGGCCTCGGGGTTTCTAAGGGGCGTGGTCCAGGGCGGGGTTTGGAGGGGCGTGTCGAGGGGGGCGGGGAGATGGGCGTGGCCTGGATGAGGCGTGTCCCGACCACCCCAGACTGCCGCGGGAGGGGCGGAGGCAGGAACCCTGGGAAGAGATGGAGGTGGGGAAAGGAGCGCCTCTACCGCAATGAGCCCCTCCCAATTCGGTTTTTACGGCCTGGCCTGGGAAGCGAGACCGGCGGGGAGGGGACACCAGCCCAGATCGTAGTGTAGCGATTTGATAGGGAGGTGTGGGACCCTGGCTTCCCTCCTCCCCTAGTTCGCGGGAGCAACGGGGCCAGGTGGGGGAGGGGAACTAGGCTCACATCTGGAAAGCATCAGGCGCGCCGGACATGCCAGGGCCCCGGGCCCCGCTGCGGAAGCGGGGAGGGGAGCTAGGGCGCCCTCGTCTCCCCCTTAGCAGGGTCTGCCGGCGCCGGGGAGGGGCCTGGGCGTGCGCCCAGCCTCGGCGCCTCCCGCAGCTGGTTTCCATCATCAATGCTGGCCCCAGCAGCCCCAGGAGGAAACCTAGCTTAGAGCGGGGGTGGACAAGGTGACGACCCAACCTCCCTTTCCCCTCCCCGACGGTGGCCAGAGGCTGACAGACTGATACTGCCTGAACCAAGTGTAACCTCCATTTCTCTCCGGAGCTATGGACCTCAGCCCTCTTTCCACCCTATGCATGACCTTACTTTCCAGGTGTGCAGTCCTGCCCTGTGCTGCAAAGGAATCGCCCCAGCCTCATGACAATCTAGTAGTCAGTGGTATTTGTCCCCATTTCTTGGAGGTGGGAGCCGAGGCCCTGGATTCGGATTCAGCTCTGGCTTTAATTATTCAAGAAACGTGCAACTGACGCCAACAGTACTTCTAGAGCCAAATACCCAATCGCCTACTGTATGTATATTCCCACCTGGGTATCTGGTGAGAGTCTCAAAATCAATGCATCCAAAACTGAGCTCTGGATTCCACACGCCAAATTCACCCCTACAGCAGTCTTACCCATCTCTGTTGATAATAAATCTTTGGGGTCATTCTTTTTTATTTTTATTTTTTTTAAAGATTTTACTGGGGAATTGGGGGAAGGGGAACAGACAAGTTGCTGTCGTTTTGTTCTTCAGTCTAGTTGTGGAGGACGTTGCTTCACTGGCCCATG